TTTGGACTTTCAATTTCAGCCCCATTCCCCTGCCTCTCCCAGTCTCCCTCTTCTCAAATTAACCCAGTCGGCCAAGCCCACCGACCAAGCCCACCAGCTACCGTCCGCCTCTCCTCCAATGCAAAGGCTCGACTCCATGCCTAGGCTTAAAGGCTTCGCGCCTCACCTAGATGCCCCCGTCTTTGAGAAACCGCCTCCGACGCCTCGCCGCCTCGATGACGGCTGCACTTGCAGATTTGAAAGGTAATACATTTTTTAAAAAAAAATAAAAATTGTTGCTACTTTGAAATTGATGGGCTTTTTATCTTTGAAATACATTGTTAATTTGTTCTATATGCTTTGTGTAAATTAGAGTTAGGTTTATGCTCTTATAAAAAATACAATTGATGTTGAATACATTGTGTTCTCTGTGTGAAAATCATAAAAATATTGGCTTTATGGATGACAAAAACGAGGCGGGGCGAGGTAGCCCACCCCAAGTTGGGGCGCAGGACTAGGGCCACGGGGTAGGTCTGGGTACTGAAGTATCTGGGCCGACTGCCCCATTGCCACCCCTATATACAAGAATTATTTAAAATGCTTCCCAAAGTTGTGTTTTGATTGGTTAAAATTGGATTTCACAGGTTAAATAACTTAAATTAGGAGATATTTTGAAAAAATCTTGAAAGACAATTTTTATATTATTTTATGAAATATATTGAAATCCAAATATAATTTTTCCAATTCTATTTCATGATATTTCATTTATATTACATTTTAAGTAAAAATAGAGAATAGGAGTTTTGAAGACCGAAGCTGCTTCCCTTTTTCTCCGTTTGCTATATCTTCTTCTCTGTACAGTGATAAAGAGTCGTCGTCTTTCAGATTGCAAGTAAAATCTTTTATTCATTTGAGTTTTGTTTGCCTTGATAAAATTATTTGAACCACAGATAGAGAGTTTGACGAAGACGAAAATAGCGTTTCAACCCATTTGAATTGCTTGCTCGGCAATCGGTATCAAGCAGTCACTGACCCAACTATTCTCTTCCTCCGTCTGCTGCTCTTTCCATCTGCACGCCATAGTATCGCTATTCATCGGCTGCCCTATTTTAACTTTACACAATTTATTTTCTTCTGAATTTGAATTTCGTTTTTAACAGTTCAATACCCTGCGTATTTTCTTTTGCTCTCAAGTGCTTGATTTGGTTAAATTTGAAGTAGAATTGCGGTTTTAGATCATTTTTACTTTTGATCATTTTATTGACTATAGACTTGCTCAGTGTTTTATTTGGAAAAGCTAGTAGTTTCTTTTTCTTTTTTCGTGTTTTTCGGTTTGGGGGTTTAAGAATCCATGGCTTCTTATCATGGGCACGCTCACTCAGAACCTGCAAAAATGGAGCAAATAATTACTGAATTCTTCGCCAAAAGCCTTCACATAATACTGGAGTCCCGGTGCCCCTACGTCTCGTCGCGTAATTACAGTGGGGAGCAAGTTTTATTCTCTCCATCTCCATCTTCCTCCTCATCCTCCTCCTCGAGTTTTAGGCCTCGGGATAAGTGGTTCAATCTGGCACTCAGGGATTGTCCTGCTGCTTTAGAGAACATCGACTTTTGGCGACAGAGTAATCTGGAACCTATGATAGTTGATGTCATTCTAGTGCAGAGGCCTACTGATTGGGACCCCTTGAATTTCTCCCCAAGAACAGGTCATGTACAGAATTCGTACGGTTCAGACAATGACGAGTTCTGGCCCGAGGGCAAGAGTGAAAAAATCATCGAGAGGTGGGTTCTGCAGTATGAGAGCAAGAAGGACAACAAAACTGTGGGCAGCTCGTCCGGTAACAAGAGGTCGAGCTGCCCAAGCTCTCACGCTTTGTACAAAAAATCGATTCTTATGCTAAGGTCTTTATACGCGACCGTGAGGCTCTTGCCAGCTTACAAGCTTTTTCGCGATCTCATCTCGACTGCTCGAATCCGGCTGTATAATCTCGGCCACCGTGTCTCGTCCTTTGTCGAGCCCTTCACTCGCCGGGAAGAGGCGGACATGCAGCGATTCGTGTTCACTCCAGTCGAGACTTCTTGTGGCAGGCTTTGCCTTTCAGTTCTGTACCGGACTTCGGTGACTGACGTGACTTCCGAGCCTTCCACTCCCATTTCTCCTCAGTTCATTCCGGAATATGTAGGGAGTCCCATGGCGGAGCCTCTGAGGAGGCTCCCGTCAATTTCTCCATCTTCATCGCCGTTCGGCAGGCGGCATAGCTGGAGCTATGGCTTGTGCAAAGCATCACCTCCTTCGCCCACGCATTCTGAATCTCATGTAAAGAAGCATACACGCAATTTTCCTTGCCCGAGGGCTTTGCCTCGCCTTTCGCATGACGAGACAGTCGCTGTTCATGTGAAAAAATCGAGTTACGATGAATACTGGCCGTCTCCTGTTTTTTCGCCTTCCCCATCTCCGTCACCACCTGCACATGTTCGTGATGGTCATTTGTGTAAAGCTCTTTTGCGGTGTGAAAGTGCTCCGGTTAGTATACCTGTGTCTAGGCTTTCGACTGTGCCTTCAGTGCCGAGTAAACTACTGATGCCCCCTTCTCCTCCCATGAAAGAAACTCGACTAACTATTTCTAAGAAAGCAATTGATTCTGATAAGGTATGTGTTTAAATCGTATTTTTTCAATTCATTTCTTGGCTGTGGTGAGAAGTATTTTATTGAGTAGTATTTGTCTGCTGCAGTTCTTTTCTTTTGGCAAGGACGAGCAAGGAAAGATGATGGTGATGAAATCATCATTTAATAGCTCGCCATGCAAATCATTTTCCAGAAGCTCAAGCAGGTTGTCTTTTCAAGACGATTGTATTGACTCAGAGTTTTCTGGACCATTTATTGTGGATGATGACGACATAGTAGATCCAGGTTCCAGGTAATCAAGCATCCTCCGTATGAGCTTTAATGTTCATTGCACTTCACATATTGATGGTGCTTAAATGACTTTTAAACGATTGTTGCTTGACTTGATCTGGTTCCATTTTGGTTACCATGATCTTTGAAATATGCTAGAAAGGTTATGGGAAGGGGCTAGCAAGTCGGTACTCAAGACCTAGCCCAATTTCGGGATTTGAAAGTTTTTTGTTCTTGACTAACTGGAAAGACGGCTAACTGCATCTTTGAATGTGACTGTATATGAAATTACATGACACTTCAGCTTTGTTTATTCTCTATGGAACTCTTAAAGGAGCAAATCAAGTCTGAGAGTCATATATCCAACTCAGTATTCTTTGTGAAGCATTGTGCACCAAACTGCCCCAAATAATTGTTCTTCGTCAATGGTGCTTGGAGAAAGCTGATTGTTGAATTATGTATCATGCTAGTCCTGTTTGAGAAAACTTTGTAAGCAGTCATCAAAGAGGTAATATATTGATGGCTGTAGAAAGTTACAAGGTTCAATGAACTTATATAGTTTGTGTGGCCAACGCATCAAGATAATGCCCTATGCAGTCTATACATGTCTCCATGTGGATATATTTGCTGCAATTTCCCTGGTTTATGCATAATCTAGAGTTGTCACGGAAAATTAAATAAATTTATTCTTAGTGGCAGCTGTGGCTTAAATAGGCAGATTCACGTGATGTGGTGATGTTGGAATATTTATATAATTGCATAGGCTTAAGTATGAATAAGAAGATATTTTTACATTGGGGTCCCATTTATAGATGGATATATTTACTTTGCATGCTAATATACGATTCATGAATCACATTTAATGAAATGCACCTGATTTATTTAAAAAATGGTTATTATGACTGGGGTGCCCGATTTTCTGGTGTTTGATAAATGGGATTGGGTATAACACATCCCCAAAAGCTAACTCAAAGGGAGAGGGGCCAACCCACACTTATACACTATCCAGTAATTAAATGATGTGGGACAAACATAACTTCTAACACCCGCTCTTGCGTGCAGCTTGCTAAACCAAATGGGCTGGGTCCTAACCAAACATTGCCTCCAAACTAATAAACCTGGGTCATTTGATACCATGACAAATGGCCTTGCAAAAGCTAGTTCAAAATGAGAGGGTGTCCAACCTACACTTCTACACAATAACAGCCCAATAACTAATTGATGTTGGACAAACATAACTTTTAACAGTGTTGAATCATATGACAGAGATTAGGATTAGTGTCTTTAGAGCATTCAAACAACTTAATTCATCCGTATCTTTTGCTTGCAGTTGTAAGTGGAATTTCTATTAGAAATTCTGAGAGTGAAGAATGTAAAACTGTCTTGTGACGTTTATCATTTTCAGTTTGTTATATAATCAATTTTCGGTCATTAATCAATTGAAGTTGCGCTGGTTCTTTGGGACTTTACGACATTGAGAGTATAAAATTATGTGCTTACGTAGTTCTATTGTCATTGTCTGATTGCATAACTATCACAAAATAGTGTTTTATTAAGTGTGTTGAATTGTTTGTGCTATAAAAATTTTATGCAGCAAATGTTTTAGTTATTCTTTGATGTCCCCAGTAGTTTTCTATTATGTATCAGCTGACAAATCAATGTATTGGCCGGATTGATTTCTCATAACTCTTATCTCTAAGAAACTTACGTTGATGCTATCAAGACATTATAATTTTCTGATGGACAAACCGAACGGTTTTGTTGTTTACATAAATTTATGTCCTTTTGTGGTTGTTCCTTCTTTGCAAGTTCTTTCTGCTTGAAATTGCCTCGACATTATCCACAGCCATCTCAAGACCCTTTGGTAATTCATACACCTTAAACTAAATCATATAATTGTGATAGGATATAGATCTTTATGGGAAGTTTTCTCCATCGGACAAAACAGGTGGAATATGTGGGAAAAAAGTTGGATGAAGAATGATTTACTTTTAAGATTTTGAATGGATATATAAGATAAAAATATAGTTATTAAAATTGACAAGATATAAAAATAGTTAAATAATGATTTATAATGGTAATGATTGGTAGTTAGAAAATGTGCATGGGAATATTGAATTATGCTGGAAATGTGTTCTAATGATTGATTTTTATTTTCAAATTGTGCTGGTGAGATTTAGGAGAAAGTTATTATGAACGAATAATGTTTTATAAAATTTTTTATATCCAGTCATAATTTTAGTGAAAAAAGTTTATTTGGTGCCATGAAAATAGGAACTTCCTTTATCCAGTTGCCCTTAAAAATTATTTTCTTTTATAATTATTATTTTTCTCCATATTTATGTTCTGTAAAGCTTCTGAAAAAGCCATACCTTGCTCTACAGGTTTCTGCTTTTGATTTATCTTTGGCTGCCATAGTGTGTGAATAATGGGATTTGGTTATATATCTTTGGTTTTAGATTAGTCATGCCTTTTTCAACACACTTTGGCAATTCGTCTTGTTCAGCTTCTGTCTCAATCTTTGACTATTTTGGACCACTTAGTTTTAGTTCAATCAGTTCTAACCCAAGTGACCTACATGTCTCTTATGATCATCATCATTTGTTTAATCCCTGCTGTCTACCTAAGAATATTTGTGTTAAATAATACTGTTGTAGGTGTGAATCGTAGAATCATTAAAAATACTATCTGATCTCTCATTCATGACCTATCATCTCTTGATTCTTTAGTCATTTTGTTATACACTAGTACTTTTTGCATGTATTCAGTGGGATACCTTTAGCATAAAGTGAACTCGTTGCTTGCTTTTATTTTCAAATTTCTCATTCAGCAAGTTAGGGCGCAGGAATGTCATGGATACATATGATGAAGTACCTTCTGTTTCAGAAGTTCAACTCAACACACTAGAGGAAAAACTTTCCATTTAGCAGTAGCTATTGAGATAATGCAGATAATAACATTAATCCGTTGTTATATACTGAGTGACTTCACGATAGTGCTTGTATTCCCCACATTTGTTTTGCTGTAATAAGCCATTCTGTCATTTCACTGATGTACTTAACTGTGGTATTTTCTTGGTATTAAGAGACTAGATCACATTTTCCTAAGAGCTATTGACATCTTTGTGTTTTCGTTATTACGGTTTTTCGGCCTTCTTTGTATATCTTATGGTTTTACATCTTCTTTATTTGTGGTTTAAATGTTCCATGTTTAAAAGAAAGGATGTATAACATAAGGCCTCCTCTANTTTGTTTGTAATGGTGCACTGTTGGTAGCATGCATTCGTCATTCTGTGATAGAAGTCAAACATCTCTTCTTATAAGGAAAAACATTATTTCGTCTTTTAACATTTCAAAACATTCGTCGTGAACTTAATATGTCGTGGGATGGTGTGCTGCAACAGACCAATTTCGTTCAATCCGTGCGGGCCCCACGAGCCTAAGGGAGTTAAGAAATCACAAGATGCTGCTGCTGTTGGTGCCCTTGTTCGTATGCTGAAGAAAGCTCCGCCCCTTCGCCAAGACATTTCCCTCACCATGCAGAATCATGTGGGCCCCGCTCTTCAGAATGATAACAATAGTGCTGGCAACAAGAATTCAAGTTCTTCAACCTTTTCGAATCTTGCATCCAAAACTACAGCTGATGCATTGGATGAGCTTCGTGGTTACAGGGAGATCAAAGACTTGCTGTTGAAGCATGGGAAAATTTCTCAGCCCTAGTCGATTTTCTTGCTTTGAAGAGTTCTCTTTT